TTCCGCTCCACTAGATTCTCAGCTGGTGCGTGGGAACATTTGTCTGTCATTTCTCGGGGTTGAATGAAGCTCGCTGAGTACTCCGAGTGCTTGTTAATCGGCTTTGACGAGCTGTTCCGAGCCAACTCTGCTCCGATCCGGTCTTCTACATAGTTGCCGAGCTTCACACCAGTGGAGAACGAGTTCTTGTGGCCGCAGATGCCGTATCCGACGTCCATCGTGTGTTTCTGTATTGTAAACTTTAAATGAGCTCTTTATTACACTGAGACTCGATCAATGCAGACAAGAAACAAATGTCGAATCCAAGTTCTAAAATAGTTGTGCTATATCTAGCACAATGCCGTTGCATGCTCTTATCTTGGCTAAATGACCAATTAAAGTTGGACCTGTGGAGTGTTTGGCACTAGATACAGATAGATCGAGGAGGTTCCTTTGGCTGTCATGAACGGGACAGTTGAAACCACTTTTTCTGGTTTCCATTGAGGAATTTGGAACACGTACGTGACCACACGCACCCCGGGACGTAGCTTTTCGTGTAGGGTTCTTGATATCTCCTTATGTGGCAAAAAGAACAGCACCACGACGTCTGCATCCTTCATATCAACCTCCATGAAGTCGGCATGAACGATTTCCACTCGCCCCCTTAATGCTGTAGCTCCATCGACCTTCTTCTCTCGGCTAAACTCTTGCTCTGGGCGTTCGATACCTTGAATCTCTTCCTGCTCTGCCCTCTCTATGATGCGGCGTCTTGAAAGCCCTACGAGAGCCTCGTCCAGCTCCACACCTCGAGCTCTCTTGAGCTCTGGACATTGGACTGCAGCTTCGATGACCACGCGACCATCACCGCTGCCAATATCTACCAATATCTCGCCAGGTTGCAGATTCGCCACTTCCAGTATTGCGTAGACAGCCTCCAACTTTGCTGGTACGAACGGAGACCACGCTATAGCAATGCAAAAAAAAAAAAATGTTGAAAATGTGTCAGACAAGTTGAATAACGACCTTTTTTGGCCGTATAGCCACGAGAATTACATAAAATCTCACGCAAATTGTTCCGAGCGCGCTCCACATGAATTCGACGACTCCTGTTGCCTCGAAATAGAGCTTGAAGCTTGACAACACCACCTACGGCCACACTAACGCTCATCCTGATCTTGGTCTCTTTTGATTCTGTCGCTTCAACTATTAAATTCGATTAAAGCCTTACTTATTATCCAATCCAGGCGAAGAATATTTATCTGCGAATCAGATGCTTTCAGTGACAAATAAATTTCGTCCAATAGAAATACGTTTGAATACCGACTGATGCCCAATGGTGGCCATTGCGTCCACCATGCACTCCGAAGCGTGGCTAGCGCTGCACCTGCCGCAGTTGACGCACTACAATGCCCCACAACACCTTCACCAACAAATTTACGATTGCGTGCATGAAAGCGAGGGCGATTGGATCGATCTGAACGCCGTGGCGACTACTCAATTAGCTTCAGAGACCATGAAAGGCAGGGCCAGTCGTCGAAAACTGCGCGTAAAGGCCACGATACCACTCCCAGCAGCGGAAAAAGTGCTGCGAGTGGCTCACGAGTGGGATTTTCAGTCAATATTGGATGCACAGACACAGTTAAGACAGGATGAAAAGCTGCGTAGCAAGATGAAAAACTTGATTGTGGAGGTAATCAAGGAAGATACAGAGGAGATTGAGCTTGAAGAGGAGAGCGAAGTGGAGAAAGAAGTGGAGAAAGAAGTGGAGAGTATCGTAAGGCATCTACATTTACTGGCGTTCTCCATTCGCTTTGGAGCGGAATCAGATGAAATGTCGTATTACGTGCTCAATACACTCGGCTCTAGGTAGGTCAATGTATTATTTATTTGTCTCTTTATTGATTTTTCTAAACATTTTGAACTTAGTTTGCGTGAAAATGATGAGGACAGCAACCTCAATGTGATGCCAATTTTCTGCATGGAGCAGCAGAAACTGTTTTCTGTTGCTTGGACCACGAAAAATA